AGTCTGTAAAATTTCAAAGTCTGTAAGTTTTGTTCATCTCAAAACCTTCAGTTGTCAGTACCAGAACTATTTATTGAAACAAAGCAAAAGAGAGTGAATTCCTGACCTCATTGAAGTCCACAGTTAAAGTCCCCTTGATACTGAATCTCTATATTCTTTTTGAGCGATCCAAAGCTCACTAACAATCATGGAAAGCATTCAGAGAGATTTGGATCTAGCCCTTTAATAGCAATCTCCTTCCTTCCTCAGTTTTACGTGCTGATATTTTAAAAGCCATAACATGTTTTCCCCAGAAAAAAATCAATGAGAAAATTATTTTAAGAGAAAGCTGACATAGTATATTCATTTGCCAGATCAAGGTCTTCGAAGAAAAGAAATTTTACAGTAGAAACTGGGTAATCATAAAGCTGGAACTTTATGATAAAAATATCCCATTCTTTTCATATTCTTTTATACTGAAGACTTTTCCATGCAATTTGACATAATGGGATAGGGTCTATAAATAGCCTAGTAGAGCCTTCAAACACAAAAGATGTGCCTATAGGGATATTGAACTGTTCACACTTGTAAAGAACAGTTTTTTTCTTTCATATATTTCTTAGTTTTTGCTAAGGTTTTTACAAAATGGTCTTGTAGTATCACTATGTAATTTTAAGGTCATATAAAGAAACTTGTTGCACAATTCTTTAATTAAAAAGTGTTTTTAACCCAAATGGAGAGGCATAGTTTTTTCATAGATCTATATACAGCATAAACCAAAATAAAATTGTGAATACAACAGAACAAATTATCTTTTGCTGTTCATTGAATAAATCACTGACTGCAAGGGATTTGATGGCCATAAAATTTCACCAACAATAAACTATTATGTAGGTTAGGTAATTGAAATGGTGGTGTTCTGCTGGTCTTTAGAGGATTCTTCATTTTAGAGAAAATAGGTGGTTGAACTTTTGTTAAGATAGGATCAGGTTCTTTCCTCATTAATTCTTTAACAAATGAATGGAGTAACTGCACTAAAATTAATGGATTTAAACTGTAGTGCAACCTGGTATAAGGTAAGAATTAGCTCCAGTCTCTAAAATGGCAATAGCATCCTAAAGTTTATTTCTAAAATGTACTACAGTGTTGTGGTACAGAAATATTGCTGACTTAAGAATAATGGAAAATTAAAATGGTAATGCATAAGATAAAGAAAAATAGAAAAATGAAACCAACGGTATAATTATTTTGGTTGTTGAACCTCATTCTGTTAGAAATATGATGGAAATGTGGTTCATGGTGTCGTGTACTGTATTTTGTAGGAAATTATTAAAGATCCCGAGAGATCAAATATCTTTTACACCATGCTTAGAAGTTTTGAACTATTCAGATTTCTTTCTGGTGTCATGCACCACAAGCATAGCTCTTTCTGAAACTGAATGAACATTAATGTGAGTGCCAGCAGAATTTTCCACTCTTATGGAATGACTTGGCTGTCTTTCATTAAACGTTGTGGGTATGGTTGCAACTGTTTTGTCAGAATAATAAAAATAAGTTTGGAAAATGAAGGCCCGGATTCAGTGAAGTATTTAAGCACATGCTTTAGGTCTAGCGTGTAAATAGTCTCATGAGAACATTTAATTATGTGGTTAACATTACCATGTGAGTAGGCCAATTGCAAACAATAGGAAATTATCACATGCTTAAGTAGTCTGCTGAATTGAGACCAAATCCCTTTTCTCTCTTGACTCTTGGCATATCTTTACCATTTAGGGTTACCCTAAACCAGCTTGAACTAAGTATGCCACCTCTCTCCCCATGTATCATACCTTGCTGACTGTAGCTGGATGCATCAGGGCTCACCTGCTTTGCTCTCAGGGAGTTTACCCCTGTGGGTTGCTTCTCAGGCTAGATTCCAGGTTGTGGCAGGTTAGGGTTGGATAAAGAGAAACACTTAGGGGAGATCTGTAACACTGGGTCCCCAGAGTCATGTTCTCTCGGGTTGCAACTTCATTGGTCCAGGAAGTTTCTTGGGGAAAAGAAAAAGTGCGGGGCATGATGCTCTGGGGAAAGAAATGAGGGGAAGGATGAGGGGAACAGGGTGCTGTAAGTAAGAAGAGGCTGCTTTCCTACATGTACTGGGAGTGGACTTTATTCCCCCACCCCCAAAGTTTATGAGCTAATGGACTTTGGTTATTTAATTTATATTGGACTTTGTTCCCCCGGTGGATATTTTCAGCTTAAGAGACAGCAGCTAATAACTGATTGCCCTGCCTGGACTGAGATGCTGAGCCCCTGGAAACCCTAGTTCCTAGCCTGGGAGTAATAGATGACTGAATGACACCTTTTGAGGGGTGATAATCAGCCGACAGTTAATGGATCATGCTCATTGGCCTTGAACCCTCAAGCAGTGGGGTGAGGTAGTGGGTTCTCCACTGTGCATAGGCTACCACGTAGACTAAAAATAATTGATAAAGGGAGAATTGCGAGTCCCTACAAGGGACAAGATATTGATATTAGTAATTAATTGAATATCAAAATGAGGAAGTACGCTGATAGTGCTAGACAATGTAACAAGATTGCCCCTCAATGCTTTAGGAGAAAAGGAACTGGGTGTAGGGGTGGAGGAGCCCCAGGAAATCACCTGTCTAGGTTGAAGATAGCCCACCATCCTTTGCATGAGATTCACCTCCCCCCCTTTTCTACAGTTACATCAAGATGTGGAAAGAGAGATTATGGGAGAGGGTGGAAGGTAAAACCTTACACTGGGAAATGGGTGTGAGCAAAAACCCTCTCACACTGACACTGAAATTCCTATTCTTTGAGCCCTCCTAGGTATTAATCTGCAAACCACTTCCTGTTTCTGCTGTACTTGACTCATTGTACAGCATAGTACTTTCTGCTGTACTACACATTGCAGGGAGGGGTTAATGAAAAGTGGGTGCATCTACATGTGCCAACTTGGGGTGGAGCAGCTGGTAGGGGGCTCAGTGGGCTCTGGCATCAGCTGGCCAAGGGGCTGGCTGGGACACAAGAGTGCTAAAGTATGGGGCTGGATGGCAGGCAGCCCATCTACACATGTGCACCCTAATACTGGCGCATGTGTAGATGGTGATGCTTTACTGTGGAGATAATTAGTCAACTCTGTAGTAGAGCACCCATGAAAATGCGCCCAGCACGTCTGACTTCTGGCCCTAATACTCAAGCAGAACTTCTGGGGTCAAGCTGAACTTTCTCTGGGGTTTACAGTGTAAGTAGTGGGTATTTGGACTTGAAAGCAGCTGTAAAATCAGAGCTAAAGTAGTAGTATAAACATGGTTTAATGTTCTTTTCTGAAAATACTTATACAGTAGGATAGAATCTGGCAGTGCTAGTGTACCGCTGCATGCAAAATGTATTTGTGTTGCAGTGAGCCTGCACTTACAGAGTCAAATCTTGCTTCAACCCCTCATTAGTATGGCAGGATCCAAATACAACAGAACTGCTGAAGATCTGCCAAATACTGCTACCCAGCTGTTTTCTCTATGGAAACAGAGGGAGTGTTATTTGATGGGAGAGTATACAATGCACCACTAGTCTGGTCAGTGGATACCTGACCTATTTATATTGGTTAGGCATATCCTCTGAAGTAGAGGAACTCAGGGGGCAAGAAATGCTACTGCCCTTTAGCCCTGAGTCTTCAGCAGCAACTCGAGCAGTGTGAGGTATATAATCCTATCTCCACAAGGCACAGAAGTGTGTATTTTTGATCCACTGATTTTAAAAAAATCTAAAATTATGGGGAAATTGTGCACAAAGCCATATTACTTAGGTTTGTGTTAATAGAAGGATTAGGGCCCTAAGTGAAGCTATTTTGTCCACCTTTATGTTTCATCCTTATGTGTCTAAATGGCACTTAAGCAGCTGTGTGACTGCTGTTTTTAGCACTTCTACACAGTATGGTTTTTGTTTCCACCTGCAGTGAAACAGGATTGCCCTGTGCATGTACTTCCTAGGTATTAAATAGAAGAGATGAAGGGCTCTCTCCTTTTAGCCTAACAGCTTCAAAATGGGAGTGGGCACAGCCTGGTAGTTAAAGAATTTTGCTTGGAGAAAGCAGGAAATATATAGTTAAAAGTCCTGTGGGTGAGCAGGGGCCTAGAACTTGCACAGTGTTCTATATGAACCAAAGCCATTATAAATAGCCATAGTGAGATACCCAGAAGGAAAATGCAGGGCATGCCTGGTATGTGAAATCACCAGTGTACGTAAGTATCAGATATTGCGGTTATCTGCAGATATTGCAGTGGCTAATTTGACAGGTGAAGGCAATAGAGGATTTAGCCTTGTGTGTCATCTCTCTAAGAAGTTTCCACAGTACTATATTGCCTTGCATACTTACGACAAAGGCTTGACAAGTTCACACATGCACTTGCCCCTCAAAGTGTGAGATGATAAATGTTCATACTACGCACTATCAACTTGTGATAGAACAGCCGTGTCTTGTGTATAGCTTTCCAAAAATAATTCATAAGCACGCGCTGCATTTCCTTAATTGTGGTTTTTATTCTTGCACAAATAAACTGTCATCCATCCAATATTATAATGCCATATGCACAAATAAAGCACAATGCTTATGTTTAGAAATGTAATGATTTCACATTGAAGGTGATCATCAAAAGGGCTTGATAGCTATGGTATGAGAGTACCGATATTACATGTTAAGGAAAGACTTGACCTGTTCTAGAGAACTGACTGACAATATCTTATGAAGGCATCAGTAGTAGATCAGCCCCCATTTCTGATAAGCTGTGGACACAGATATCATTAATAAAAATGCAGAAACCCCACAAATGAATGCTTCTGTGAGCAACAGGAATCTAATTAATAAATTAAAAGGCCTTTTTTTGCATTCCCCAGTTGTTGTATCATCATGCAGATGCATTTTCATTCCATTGATGGGGTGCCATTACCTTCTACAGTCAGCACTATCACACAGATTTTTAGCACAGCACTGAAACAGTTCTACCAGTAGCAGCAGGTTCGTACAAAGGAAAACTTTGCAAACAAAAGATGAAATGCATTCAAATTTACGGGTTCATCTTAAGCCCAAGACACAAAGCTAGTTCAGATTTTTGAATTTTTCCATCCTTGTTCACGTCACAATGATGAAGCAGAATCTGGCGGAATTTATCCAGATCCACACCACTAATGCTGGGCTGGAGACAAAAGAAAGAATCAGTCATCAGGATAGGAAGTATCTCAGTCATCATTTTTCCAACCTCATATGGCATTGGTAATTCTAGAGTGACTAAAGAATGCAAAGGAGGAAATACCAAGCAAGCGGGCCACATCAACCCAAGTGAAACAGGGAGAAAGGTAGATGTGTGCCTCTTCACAAGAAGATAGATTTAATAAGGTTTATGGGAGTCTAAATGACTGCAAGGAAGTCTTAACATGATTTCTGTATTTGGCCAAGGGAAAAACAACTGAACTAGGCTGGGACTAGACCTTCTAACCCATGGCCCTGTCCTTTAAACCTGCTTCCTCTCACAAACTTGCTACATGTTGATAATGTGTAGATTGTCACTATTCTCTAAGATAATAATGTGGTTCAGTCTTGTGCTTTAAACACAAGAAATACCACAGGCACATGAATGTATATTTCTATTAGGGGGATGGAGACCGACTATTTCCTGAGCCCATGGAGGACAGTACTAAAAGCAATGGCCTCAAACTGCAGCAAGGGAAATTTAGCTTGGAGATTAGGAAGAACTTTTTCATTATTAGGGTGGTTGAGCATTGGAACAGGCCATCTAGAGAGGTTGTGGGATCTCCATCCCTAGACATTTTCAAGAGTAGGTTAGACAGACACTTGATTGGGATGGTTTAGTCAGGGATGATCCTGCCTTGGGCAGGGGGCTGAACTAGATGACCTCAGGAGGTCTCTCCTAACCCTTCTTTCCTATGGTGATATGATCCTGTTGTATTGTGTGAATGCTGTATCCTTTCCTTGTATTGATATCTTTGGCTGCATATACACATGCTCAGGGGTGGTGGAGGGGCATTTTAATTAGAGCGGTGAGGAGGGGCATTTTAATTAGAGAGGTTCCCAGACAACTACTGTATTTAAAATGACTCACCATCGTGTGTATTAAGCCCCCACATGTTTTAAAATGGCTGCGGGATGCTTTATCTAAACCTCATTCAACGAAGGTTAGATAAAGTGTTCCCCGCCAGCTATTTCAAAATGAGCAGGGGCTTAATACATGTGACGGTGAGACTATACTGGAGCATTCTAATTAGACACATACTAATTAGCACGTGATCAAATGTGTATAGCCAGCCTCTAGTTCTTATATTTGCATAATAAGAACAGATTCAAGTTCAGAATGTATTTTATTGAAAACATTATATTCAACAATGGTTATAAAAAGGATAATCATGATGATGAAGAAGAAATAATTCCTTTGGGGAAAGAATGGTTTCCCAATCATATTGCCAAATGTCTTCTTTTCTTTCTGGCTCCATCATTATCTTGGTTACTAAGGTCTGCAAAAGCCTTCTCAGGCAGCATGGCAAATGGGAAAAGCATGTTAGTGAAAGCTTATCCTCTCATCTATTAACAATTTACCAAAAAATTTCATTTATATATTTACATAGGGAGGCATTTTTTGCCAGGCCGTGCGTAGAGCTAGGATTTTGGAAAGGGGTTGCAGATGGTGTGGCACATTGTCACATAACACAACACATATTTTTCTCCAGTTAAAGAAAAACTAGAAGCTTTACTAATATGGTAGAGGGCTAACACTATATATTATTCAGTTTAATATCAAAGCAAAACATATATAATTATTGGAATGTGCAGGAATTGGCTAGAGTGCGTGTATATATATATATAAATAAACCCACAAAAAACAAGGCAAAAAATAGTAAAAAAAGTATTGTGCCATTAGTCCTGTAGTCATTATAGTTAAATGCACATCTCTTATTCAGATTCATAAAACAAAACCTAGCTTTACTGAGTGTCTTGACAGAGCCTCCAATACTTCACTGTCAGTCATTTCTATACCTGAGTTACTATTACCACACCTGAGTTAAAGTTTCAGTAAGAGCTAAAAACAGTCTGTAAAATAGGAGAGAGACATTACCAGAAATGGCTAACAGACCACAAAATTGGAGAAGAAAGGCTAGTTTGAAATACCAAAACATCAAGACCATTAAAAAGGATAAAGGATCATTAACACCTGTGGCGTGGAGAGAGATTAGCAGGAATCAGGGAGAGAATAATGAGCCATGAAGTCAATTGACCAGGGAGTGAACTTCCTCACTAGAAATGCTGTACCCTCTTCCAGTCAGTTGGTTTTAAGTGTGGGTGGAGCAGGAATCAAAGCGGGGTTCAATTGCACCACTGCACCCTCCCCAGATATGCCCCTGTGCCAAACTAACTTATTTTTGTTGAGCGGCCCAATAAGTTCAGAACTAACTTATTTTTGTCCTCAAAATGGGGAGCAAGAGAAAGGACAGAATCAGATACTGCCCATGAAAGCTTTCCATTACAGCTCAGTTAATGAGCTCCAGGGTATGTACGTGCATATGTGTTTATAGGTACCTGCCAGAGACCAGCAGTATATCTGAGGGGGGACAATTGAAGCAGCAGCCCAGGTGTGAGGGGGCACAAAAATAGCCACAGTTGAAGTGATGCTGATTATGCTGCTGTGATCTATACTGTGGCAGCTAGCACTGCCCTGGGCATTGATAGCTGCCTCTGGCACAGAGCTGACTGACAATACCTCTGGCAAAGACTGCACTTTTAGTTTACGTTTGCTGAACTGTGCTGTCTGTCTAATTTAGAATATAAACTATTATGGGCCTCTGTTAAGTAGAAAGCATTCGTTGTGTGAAATTGTTCCAGTCTGCATGTCAGACAATGCTACCACGATGAAACCAATATCCAACAGTGTTTATACTCAGACCAGGAAATTCATTTTTTTCCCTGTGACAACCTGAATTTGACTCCAGAGTTTCAGGCTTGGGAAATTACATTACTGCCTAAAAACATACACAACTCGTTTCCCGTGACAATGATGGAAAATGATAAAAGCAAAGAATTGTGAAGACACCTTGACAAGCTCCATCATATCTTTGACAAAGCCATCTACTTCTGGACCTTCAAGTGCTCCTGTTTTACTCTGAAAGACAGAGGAAACATCATATGCATTTCACTAAGAGAAAGTTCCCCTCAGGACTCCATGTTCCTGTCATCCCCCAACCACCCAAGCCATCTGCCTGCAACTTCTCTTGGCCCCTCACATGGTGGTGACATCTTCCATCACCTGTTTGGGACAACTTCTGGGGACTATCCTACTCAGCCTTCTGAAACTAGCCAATGACAACAAAAGGTAGCTCTCCAAGCAAGAGGAGGCAACCCGGGTATTTCATTTGTGCGGTGTCCTATTGCTGCTATACTGAACAAGGATATAGGATGTAGCATTCTAGTTGATGGACTGAGACATGCAGGTGGTACCCAACTGCTCAAAGGGCATAAAGGTAAAACTACTGCTGTTTTTGTGATTTGGTAAGTATTGCTGGCAGTCCTGGCAGTGTAGCGCCTCCCATTACTGTGCTTCCATTACATCTCAGTCCGGATGTGCTTCATAATATATGTAATATAATCATGAATGACTATAGAGAACTCACAACATCATAGTGTGCAAAAATTTTCTCAAAATCTCTCTTCCTTTCTTCTGTAGTACAAGCCTGAGTGGAAAATAAAAGAAAATGGGTTGAAGTTAGGCCTGAATTACCTTTGCTGAAATAAGTTGAATGAATGAATTAGGAAATAGTGCTACTTACATCCATTTTGAACTGAAGGAGGAAATTTTCCTGGAGCGCCAGAATCCTAAAGAGAGAGATAGAAATAAATTATGATCTACTCAATTATTGTCTGCACACAAATTTTTAGTTCTGCTTGTCCATAAATCAAAAAGGACTGTAGATTATAGGCCTTTGAAGAAGAAAGTTACTGCAAGGGGTATTTTAAAGGAAGGTCTGTGGCTAATGTGAACATAATTCCTTCCCTCTAGTTGTTGGGAAGAGTTGTGCAAATGCCTTCGATCACCGCTCTAAAAAATGTACTCCTTCATACACCTGCCCTTTACAGAACATTTCCAACAGTAATACCAGGCGAGGACATCTACCTCCAAAGGGAGGCTAGTATCCAATTATCCCGCTGTATGTGGATTGTGCTGCTGAATTTAAAAAAAATAGAAAATTTATCATTATCTTATAGTTGAATTTAGTGGCTGTGAAAGTAAAGGACAAAATAATACTGGCTTGGATGCTGACAGTGGTCAAATTTTCCCACGAAGGACTGATAAAAGCTTTTCTTTTTTTTGGCTGCTATTCAAGTCCTAAGTTTCTGAACAGAAAATGCCAAATTGTGCCCCCACACAGAAAGTTTTGTGATGTGACCGATATTCACTCTAAGCAGAACTTAATCTACACAATTCACTTCATTATTAAGTACCAGATTATTAGTGTGCATTGTAAGGGGGCTACTTACTATGCTATGTCTAGAAAAAAAATTGTAACAGCAGCTTCTGTATGTTATTTTTCATTCTCTTTGTCTCCATATACATATTTAAACTCACAAGGATATGGAATATAAATTGGAGAGCATTGATAGATTCTGAGTTGGCATAGCTAGGGATGAGGACAAGGCACAGCTGAATAACCATGTATGAGAACTCATGCTTTTTCCTCATTCAGCTGTTTCTGGACATGCAGCCCAGAATCCTTTAGTGCAGGCAGTATCTCAATGGTTCTCAAAAATGTTAGGACAGGACCTCATTTCAACAACAAAAATACCATCACAAGCCAAACCCTATGTGCTTATTTTGGTAAGTACAAGGCTGGTGAAAGTATGGAACACCATTTGGGCTTGTGACTCCTTATTTGAGAAATACTGCTTCAGGACTTTCCAGCAGCTAGCATGACACTGCCTTTGAATCTCCTCAACATGCAGAGTGTATAGATGAAGGGGAGAACAATCCTGACATAATTTAGAGCTCTTATTCACTAGGCACTTAGATATTGTAGTAGTGGTGAACCAGACAGTAGAAATACTTGGGTCAAGAAGAAGCTGATCTCACCTGAGTGGTAGGATTCAAACTCAGGCCTCCAGAGGTGGAAGGCTATTGCTTATAATCCACCCACTTGCCAGATCCACCTGCAGAAACTAACGAGCCATATCAGTACTATTAAAATCTACCTTGCCAGATCGTTCAGATCCAATCGTCCGTCTTTATTTTTGTCAAAAATCTTCATCTAAAATCACGAAGACAAAATGGCAATAAAATTGTACCATTGAGATATCTGGTTAAGAAAATACAAGTACAGAATCACTGGCATATATTACAGGCAACTCTATGTCCTTTCCAGCATAAGATAACCTCTCATGTCCTGATTTCATTATTATCCTGTCAGTAGCTACGATTATGGCATAACTCAGGCAAAACTGTCTCCCTCCAATACACAGAACTGTCAGCATTTAAAACTTAGTTGGAGCAAAGTCTGAAGTCAGAAAGAACCTGTTTTATTTAGAAAATTTCAGACTGCCGGTATCATGGAGTTAATCCATATAAGTACAGGAGATATCTCTTGCTTAATATATTTTGATTGCTGCTTCCCAGTGACTCACCCCAGCTTTCCTTTACTTATTATTTATTTATTTTTCCTGTATGAGGCACAGATAAGAGGTGATCACTTAAGCGAGAAGCAAAGAGATTTGATGGATTGTATGTATGAATAATTCATGGCAATTGTCATAGAAAAAAACTGATGCCGCTTTTTACTGCATGAAAGGTCTAATATTTCATGGAGATGAGTTGCTGCTCTCTTTTAGACATTCTGCATTGGGATATTTTTATTCACTAATATTTCTTTCATGAACCTTATTCCTCTAGTGATTATAAGTTTACTAAAAAAAATCAGTATACAAAATGAGTTTCCGAGTACTTGAAAACGTGAGAATAGGAGGTATAGGTACCTATTTAGACCCTCAATAATATGCTCAGAGTATCAAGCAGAGACGACTATTCATATGACATAGAACCAGGAACGATGTCCACAAAATACCTCCAGGGAAACCAAAATTTTAAATATCTTTCAGAAATGAATTCAGAATTCAGTTCAAAGCCTGACATTTGTACAAAAAAGATGCCTCCTAAGAGTTCAGTAAAAGATGACTCTAATTTGCTGTTGGCTGTGTGGAGAGAGAGAAGGGGCTGGCTTTTTCTGAGAATCCTTCCTACAAATATGAAGTCTTACAGTCAGGCACATCTCCAGTCTTGCAACACTTGAGGGAAGACAGTTAATCTCAGATACCATGAGTAGGGACCTACTTAAATTGCAGTTTTGCAGACTTTGCAGAAACTGTGAAGAACAGTGTTGTCCATGAACAGTGTTGTCCAATTGCTGAGAAATTCAGCACTGGCTGCAACTTCCCACCAAATCAACCAACAACAAAAATAGCAGTAGTGATGTACACTGAGTGAAGGGGCCCTCCACCAATCAGTGGCGAGGAGCGGGACAAAAAAAATGGTAGTGACATAGACCGAGTGATGGCACCTTCCACCAATTGGCTGAAGGGGCAAGGCCACCAGGGTCCCTCTGCCAATCAGCAGTGAGGGGCAGGGCCACTGCAAAAATGCCTGTGAAATTGGCTGTGCGCGCCATGAGTGGACTGCGAAAAACCCTGTGTCTCACTGTGACTTAGGTAGGTCCCTACCACTGGTAAACCTCTTTATTGGACCGGGTTTTGTTACGAATCATGACATATTTAATTAAATGAGTTCTTCTAAACAGTTTATAGCCAGTGTAGGAATATTTAAAGAATTCTTAGTATTGGCCAACCTTTGTTTCCATTGAAATTAACTGTGAAACTACCATTGATGAGTTAGACCAATACAGAGCTTTTTGAAAACTGCCACTCTTAAATGTAAAGTTCATATCTAACTGTGTACATAGCTTCATTCCTGTTTCATAGCCCTATGCTCTGTGTGTACTCAGCTCATAGGCAACATATGGGGGGACACAGGGGGCATGCCTCCCCCCTGAAATTGGCCCTCTCTGGCCGGGGAGTGGGGAGAGCCGGTTCGTGCCCCCTCCCTCAGAAGTGCCGGCAGCACTTCTGGTTTTGCCTGTGGCACTTCCAGTTTGTCGGCACATCTTCTGGGGTTGGCGATCGGACCCCTCCCCGGTTGGTGATCAGCTGCTGGTGCCCCCCTGGAGCCAGGAGGAACCAGTTTCCCATGACTCAGCTCATAGTTTGTAGAAGCAACAATAAACATGATTTTTTAACTTTTCTTGAACCTGCAACTGGAAAAATGAGTGAAACAGTTTAATGTAGCACACAGTGCTCTTCTTATTCAACAAATTTCCCAACTATACAGTTGGTCCAATAAAAGATATAAAAAATCCTTGCCCCTCAGACTCTTTTTATGTGCTCAGTCAGAGCTTATTTTGAAGGCAAGATAAAATATGTAATTCTCCCTCTAGAAGAAAATTACCGAGGGTAACATTTAAAAGATCTTATACAAGTTAATGGGATTTAGGTACCCAAAGTGCCAGAATCATTTTTGAAACTGGAATTCAGGCCTTTTTGAAAATTTTTCCCTCAACCCCTGGTTTCTGGAATATAGCTAAAGAGCTCTTAAGCCTTAGGTTATGTCTACCTGGTAAACGTACCATAGCTTGTAGGTGTGCTCTCTGGGCTTTTTACTTTCTAAACTGGAAGGAGCATAAATGCATCTATTTAGCCATTGGGGTGGGCTAATTGGCACTTGCAGATGTAGCTACTCTGCTGGGAGTGGTGCAGTGCATTTGGAGGAGCTGCTGCTAACCATGGTAAATTTACTGAGTAGACACAGCCTAATTGGGACAAGCACTATCTACATAAATAACACACATTTTCATAAAATAAAAACTCACATAAGGCAAGAATGGTCAGTGTGCTCTAAAAGACACAAGGTCAAATTCCACCCTGGTGTAATTTAATTGAATTCTCCCTGCTTCTGATAGCGCAAAATATGCTAAAGGCACCTTCCTTATCTTTTCCTCGTGAAAAGATACACTGTATTTCTCATTGCATTACTGTTCAGAGGCTTCAGGTTTTTAAATATGGTCCTAAATGCCACAGTCCTTGGAAAACAACAGGCGTTGGGGGGGAATTTCTGTTTCTATGGCCATTAAATCTTTGGCTTTGGTATGAGATTACAAGAAAAATGATTTAATTACCAGCCATGATGGCAATTTATGAGATACGATGCACAGCTAGCAACTTAGGAAATGGATAGAGGCCAACTACTTATTTTGCATAGGTCAAGTCAAGCCATTCATTTCTTTTCCATTTCGATGTCTCCTGAAGTCTCATTTCCTTCCATAATTCCCTCGAGAAAAAATAAACATCTGACTCTAGTCATTCCTTCCTCTGGGCTTTCAAATGTGTCTCATCTATGTGTCTGTTTGACTTAATGGCTAGAGCTCCAAGGTACAGACTGTCTATTGCGTGCACCACCAAACATGTATCAGAAGGCAATGACCTTTTTTCACTGCCACCAACATGGGATAGATTAAGTCTGTTGATTTAGAGGAGAAAATATGAGCCTCTCATTAGCAATCTAATTCAGTTCCTTATTCCTATAAGTTTGAACGTAACATCTAGCTTTTAGGGACTTAAAACCCTTTGTTTTCTAACTGATCAGTGTCGTTGTTGCCAGTTTTCTCATCTCCCTGCTTTCCCTTAGCTCTGCTTTTTCCAAACCAAGAGAGAATCTTCATGTTTTACAACTCAGCTTTGTTTGTTATAGTACATCTACATTAAACAAAATAGCCAAATACATTAAAACTTCCTTTCTCAATTCTGGTCAACAGAGGAAAAAGAATCCTGCTTCAAAGGGTCGGTTACTTTTTTGTAATAATGAATTTCATATGAAATATGAAAAACATGTATTCAAGACCAGAATACCTTTCAATAAGTTAGTTCAGGTACCACATCTAATAAGCTGGACATGATTCCAGTATTTGAACAAGCAGGCCTACTCTGTGCCATTGTTGTATAGTTACTACACCAAATGCCCAGGGATACATTTATTAATTAAACTTGCAGATCTCAAATATGCAAGTGTTTGATTTAATCAGATAATTGTATATCCGTGTGCATACAAAGAATTGCAGCACACCCATATCCTGAATACATGCATATGTGGGAGGTTTAAGTACATATATTCAAAATGTTGTGGGCCTGATTTTAATTTAACTGATTTCCAAACACACCACACTAGCAGTGCAAAGATGCTTTTAGGTTGGTATTATTTACACCTACTTTCAGACTCATTTTAGCTGCTAGCATGGTATTAAGGGACTTATTGTAAATGGAGATAGGGTTCTGCATGCTTAAAAGACATTTTTAAAAATAAAAATCTTTATTCTATTTTATATACCGTGTTTACCCAGATCCAAGACTTTGCCTTTAAGATGACTGCCCCAATAATTAGGTTCTGTACATGGAAAAATATAAATTTGTTAGCATTTTCCATGTATAGAATCTAATTTGTGGAAAATCATCTTAAATTCATCCCCCTCAAGTCCCACCTGCTGTGGCAGGGAAAGCAGCTGTGGGGAGGCAAGGGGCCAGAATCCCATCCCTTGCTCTCCTGCCCCTTGTTCCCCCTGTGGCCCCCTGCTGCCTGCCCCTCAGGCCTGTGCCTGCCCCACATTCCCTG